ACTATCAGCCTGAAGAAAACACAAGTCATGGGCCAGGGCGTGGACTCACCTCCTTCTTTTACCATCCCCATGCAAGAATTGGAGGTTGTTCATGAATTTGTGTACCTTTGCGCAACGATCTCTGACACTCCCTAGATGTCGAGCTGGATAGATGCATTGGCAAAGCAGTTACCATGTTTTCAAGACTCACAAAAAGAGCATTGCTCAATAAGAAGCTGACAGCATATACCAAGATCCAGGTCTATAGATCCTGTGTCTTGAGCACACTCCTGTATTGCATTGAGTCCTGGACCCTTCATGTACGGCAGGAGAGAAAGCTGAACACGTTCCATATGTGTTGCCTCCGACACATTTTTGGTATCACCTGGCAGGACAAAGTTCCAAATAGAGTAGTCCTAGATTGAGCTGGAATTTTTAGCATGTATACACTACTGAAACAGCGACGCCTACGTTGGCTCGGCCATGTTGCAAGAATGGTTGATGGTCGGATTCCAAAGGATCTCCTATATGGAGAATTAGTGCAGGGAAATCGTCCCAGAGGGAGACCACAGCTGTGATACAAGGATATCTGCAAGCGGGATTTGAAGGCCTTGGAAATGGATCTCAACAGATGGGAAACCCTGATATCTGAGCGTTCAGCCTGGAGGCATGCGGTGCATCATGGCCTCTCCCAATTTGAAGAGACCCTCACTCAGCAGGCTGAGGCAAAGAGGCAATCACGAAAGCAGCAAAATCAGGGAGCTAGACGGGGCACAGATTGTGTTTGTCCTAAGTGTGGAAGGGATTGTCACTCTTGAATTGGCCTTCTCAGCCACACTAGACACTGTTCCAAGTCCTCCAGGCAGAGCATGATACCATAGTCCCTCGAGACTGAAGGATGCCTATGATGAGATATCTATTACCTCTGAAACAATATTGCAGAATGAGCAAATATGGTTAAATCCAATATTCTTCCACATTCTTTGATTGTACATACTAAAACCCTTAAAGAGACGGAGAGAAAGAGAGATGTAGCATATTTTTCAAATTGCTATATCTTATGCCATCATGAAGAGCATCAGCAAAGAACCAGATATTATCACTTTTCTATTAAATAACTTGCAGTTTAATTGTTTATATATTACTATTTTATTAATTTTTAAATACCATGCTTTTGCAAAACATTTCAAGTCAATATACTTTTTATAATTGTTATGATAAGAAAAATAACATCAAAAGGAATAGGGAAGGAAGAGAAACATAAGCAGTTTTTAGTACCAGTTCACACCAATTCATAAGGAAACAAAAGAGATGCTGTGTGTTGGGTGTAAAGGTAGCAGTATAGTAAATAGCAATATACCATTGAAAGGGGTCTCACTGAGTGGCAACTATGTGGAAGAATTCCTGGTGAAGGCCAGTCACCAGTGGGAGAATATTTAGCTAGAGTCCTGGAATACTCAGCCCTTTTAATCCTGAGTTTACTCATGCAGATTACTGGGAGAGTCACTGAACAGTATCCTGTTGTATTAGGTGATCACAGAAAGATGATCACATAAGCATTCCCCACACTCTGGCAGGCTCCCTTTTGCTGTGAGATTGGTCACAAACTCTTTTTCTGTGTTTGGTTGTGTGATGAGTTCTGCCCGAGCAGAGGAAAGCTTACATGATTTCCTTTGTACTTCAAACTGGATGCTAGCTATTGAATATCAAAGTTTTGGTATAAGCCATCCTTAAATTTCCCAAAGAGGCAGGGAAAAAGCCCTTGGTTTGAAGCAAAAAGTTATGGTTGAAGATGTATATCCCAAAATAAATGTGTGCAGACCACAGAACAAGCCCCTTCTCACTCAGACATGGGTACATTGATACCAGCTTTTGTACAGTACCTTAACTTCCATGCAAAATAAGTATGAGACATGAGGGCCACTCTTTGATTATCTACAGAAGAAAGATCTCTGCTTACCTAGGAATAGATCTATCAAACACAATGAGATTTCTGTCACCAAATATAGATCAGTTGGACTAGACCAGTAAAGAAACCTTATATAACAGTCAATAGGGCTGTGCTGCAAATCTGTTGTTCATAAAAGCTGGCAGTGTCAAAGCCTGTGTCTCATTTCAGCCCTTCCGCGGCACTAATGATGTACTTGCTAAACTGGGATTGATGTGGCTAGGAGGATTATGCTATAGTGTTAACTTGGAGTTGAAGTTAAAATAGAGGAAGGATCAATCAGTGTGCCTATGTTTTCTAAGAAAAAAGAGATTGATCTTTCTATGCTTTTTAAAATGAAAGAGCACACCAGGAACACAGAATTGTCACTGTTGAGAAACGAATGTTTTTTCTTTGCTCAGCATCTTAAAATTGTAGATTTTTTCAAAGCTACCATACAAATAAACAAATTAAGGAGACTGAAATCCTATAGGTGTTTATGTAACTTCTTGCAGCTAACTGATAAGGTGCTGGGGCACATCTTGGTTGCGCATTCAAGTATGTGATCACACACGTGACTGAGATGTTCCTTGGCACCTCAACAATTAGCTACAGTTATTGGCAACAAACTATGGAAAATATATATGAACATCAACAAGATTCCGGCCATTAACAACCTAATCATTGTGCCCTGCAAGATGGGCGCTCCGTTTGATGATGAAATCACTTGACATTGATGTTTTTGCGATCGTAAAACAATGTTCCCTATGGGGGGATTTTGCTTTACGATTATTGGTTCCCTGCTTCGGGAACCAGTCATTGCAAAGCAATGATTTTTTAACAGCTGATCTGCGGTTTCAAAATGGACGCCGGGTAAACAAAATGGACGCCCACTGTGTTTTTGTACGGATTCCTCACTGCACAGGCAGTGAAAATGGCCGCGCAATGGAGGATCTTCACTGGACAGTGAGTTTCAAGCCCCTAGGAACGCATTAATCTGGTTTTAATGCATTTCTATGGGCTTTTTAAAATCACATTACGACGTTTTCATTCTACAGTGATTTCGCTGGAACGAATTAACATTGTAATGCAAGGCACCACTGTATATCTTCATTTTGAGGCCTAGCCATTGAGAGGGAGTACATCAGTGGCAGCTAGAGATAAACTGTTCCCATGAGCACCTGCGTTATTTTATGAAGTCCTACCTAAACAGTCAAACTATGAACTGAAGAGTGAAAAACTTAATTGCAAAATAACTTCAATTGCCTTCTTACAGGGACATGGAAGTTCCAGTCCAGAAGAAGATGGATTAGTTGTTGGATATCGTCACTGTTAACTGTGGGTTAAAGAAAAAAACTGTCTTGATTTCTTGGTCAGCTACAGAATTGAGCAGCTAAGTGTTTCCACCCAACACAGCTAGTTATTGGCTCTGAGGAAGTTGAGAGTTACTAGGATTGATAACTCCAGGGAGTTGCTTGGATAAACCAAGAGTGACCATAGCTAGAGGGCAAAAGGCAGGGGACTCTAGGACTTTGGGTACCTTGGTCTATCCTTGGTCTTTGACAGACTTAAGATGCCTGAGGCCAACAAGATATCTAAATTGGCGTCTTTAAAGATGCTACAACTTAGAAAGGAGAGGAAATTGCCATTCAAACCTCTCTGCTAAAATATTTGGCCTTGTGTATTACAATGTGTTGATCATAGGTGGTGTGCTGCTCTATGTTCTCCCTGGATTACATGAGACATGTACCACCAGAAGCTAGTCCTGCCCAAGAATCAGAAGCGGGTTAGAAAAATAACAATTTCCACCCCATAATTGCTACTCTAAATCAGTTCAGGGAACAAGCACATATGGACATTTCAAACCTTCAGAAGATGGCAGAACTGAGAGGCAGAATTGCAGCAGCAAGGAATAACAACTTTGATTTAGTGATTACTAAAGCACACACACAGATAAAATTAGTCTTCACCATACGTTTCCATGAGGGAGGCAACATGAACACCTCATCAAGCATAACTGTTCAGAAGAATACTGGAGGCATTTAGGCACAAGTATTTAATTTACTTATTTTATTTATTTCATATATTTCTGTCTCACCTTTCTCCCCATAAGTGTTTGTGGATTTCTGCCCATTTATTCAAATACCTGGTTGGTTGGCTACAGCCTATGTAAACTTGTGTCAAGTATTACTTGTTAAGTCTTTAAGGTGCCACAAAACTCCTTATTTTTTCCACAACAAATTAACACAAATTACTCCACTGTCCATAACTGTATGTGGCTAGAATCCCTGTATAATACATTTTACCTAAATTGACATTAATCGGATATCAGATTTTCTAATTACATTATTCATGTTCTTTCCTCTCTCTCTTCTCCCCACCCCAACCAAACAGATATTCTGTGATGCTAAGCAAATGGTACATGCCACAGACTTACTGGACTGGGAGGACAAAGATGTTGCAGACACAATGGTTGACAACATAGTCCATTCGAGGATCATCAACCCTTTACGCCTCTTTGTTAAGCCATCTCCAGCACTGAAACAGGGGCAGAAGTCATATTCGGACAGCATAGACAACTTTTGGGATTGGCTGGCCAACATCACTGAGGTTCAGGAATCTCTGGCACGAACTAAACGCAGACCAATTGTCAAAACTGGGAAATTCAAGAAAATGTTTGGGTGGGGTGACTTCCATTCCAACATCAAAACTGTGAAGTTGAATCTTCTGATAACAGGGAAAATTGTTGACCATGGCAATGGAACCTTTAGTGTTTATTTTCGGCACAATTCAACGGGACTTGGAAATGTTTCTGTGAGCCTGGTGCCACCTTCCAAGGTGGTGGAGTTTGAATCATCACCGCAGTCAACCCTAGAGACCAAGGAGTCCAAGTCTTTCAATTGCCGCATTGAATATGAGAAAACAGACAGAGCCAAGAAAACTGCATTGTGTAACTTCGACCCTTCAAAGATCTGCTACCAAGAGCAGACACAAAGCCATGTATCCTGGTTGTGTTCTAAACCATTTAAAGTGATCTGCATTTACATTGCTTTTTACAGTGTTGATTATAAACTGGTGCAAAAGGTCTGCCCTGATTATAACTACCACAGTGAAACACCATATTTATCTTCTGGATGACACACACACACCGTCCATTTTTGAGTGACTGTTATTGATAATCTGTCTAAATTCTACTTTAAACTTCTTAAGACAGTGCTTCCCAATCAGGCTGAACAAACACATTTTCTTCCCTTAAAGGAAAATAATCCTCTCCTGATGGGCTGGTTCACCCATGCATGTTCTTCACTTGATGTCTACAATATCAAGTGCCAATTTGCATGTGTCAGTGAACCACCACAGATAAAGCAACCCAGAACTTTCATAGCTGTTCAGACAGACATCTTCCAGTGAAGTCTGTTCAGCCATTCAGCTGTGATTCAGAGTGTTGACTAACCAAGTGATGTCACGCATGTGTACCAGCCCCAGGTTTGTGCTGTTATCATAAATATGTAATCATTCATGTACCAAAAACGTCATTTTATATGAATTTCTTGTTTTTGTCTGCTCCCATCAGCTGTAGAGAAAATGTTAGCCACTAACAATTTGTGAACAAGGAGTAGAGAACAAGTCCATGCCCTTGCTATAGTAACAAACTAACAGCAATCATAACTGCCCAAGTTGACTGAGGGCCAATCGAGCTGACATTAGGCTAGCTACAAACCAATGCCAGCATGGAACGGTTAGAAATTATTTAGGACCACCCATACCTTGTGTAGCACAGTGCTGGCTTACTAACTGTGTCCCGGACCTGGAGGAGGTTTGGATCTAGTGCAATTGAGCTACTCTTTCTCTGGCTTTTCTGCTGGGAGAGTAGTACTACTGCCAGACCTTTGAGGCTGTACAACAGAATTTGCTGGCAGAAGAGGCTTCTGCATATTACTAGACCATAATTCTGCATTAGGGTTGTACTGTAAATGTTCAGGTTATAGGAAGCACAGTACATTGGCATGTTCGGAAAGACAAAACAGTGTTGTTCAATACAGATATATCGAAGCAAGTATTTAGACCCACATAAAAGTGTTACTAAAATGGATTACTACAGGAATGTAGGCAGACTGGCTAGTTCAGTGAGTTCAATGCTGTTGTGCTATGTGCTGTCAAGTTGCCTCCAACGTATGGTAACCCTATGAATGACTGTGTTCTACAAAATGTTCTGTCTTCAAAAGCCGTGTTCAACTCCTATATACTCAAGGCTGTGGCTTCCTTTGTGGAGTCAGTCCATCCTATGAGTTGGATATCTGGCTGCAAAGGCAGAGGTTAGGAGTTCAATTCTCCATTAATACTACCTGAGAGAAGACCCAATGTGTGTAGTCATGGGCATGCTGTACAATCCCAGAGCACCCCCCAGAAGAAGGGAATAGTAAACCATCTCTGAGTACTCATATCTAGAAAGCCCAGGAAAGAGTCATCATATGTCGGAATTGACATAATGGCACATTATGATAATAATAATTATAAGAATGTAGAGTGAAGTTCGGCATTTGTAGAAGATTAGGAAGAAGGTTTGCCCACCCATCCCTGCAGTTTCTATTAAGTTACTGAAAGGTTAGGCAAAAGTTCTGTAGAAATTCAACTTTAAAAAGAATTTCTAGGAGATTTCCGTAATCTGTCCATGAATAAATCATTCAAAAGAGCAGTTACTTTTTAAGCGCTTGCCATCTATCTGAAGTGCCAAACAGAGGCCACTTAATAAAAGTAGGAGTAGATCACTTGGACACCTCAGTAGCCATGTAAATTTAATCTTGAAATGTATTTGCTCAATTGTTTAAAGAGCATTATTTGGGATACATGAACTGTGTTTATTGTCAAATTCTAGGATGCAGATTTGCATTACATGAAGCACACTAAACCTGAGGATCATGCCATCCAACTGGTCAAAGCAGAAATGAAGCTCCTGAACAAAGACAGCATTTAAAAAATGTATCCATTTAAAGCAAATGCATTCTATAGTTAAGTAGATTTTGAAGTCTATTGGTGGCTTAGTGCAATGAACTAACTCTTTCTAATCTCTCCAGAGGTTTACAATCATAAAAATAGACTGATGTCTAGGTCTGCAAGGCAAGGTCTATAAAGGAAATACTTCTCCTTAAGTGAGGCAAATTGTGATGTAGTTTTCCGTGAGTCAGCCATGCAATGCAGGATCATCTCCTTTTATGTAAAATGGAAATCATACTCAGATATAACTGGAAGGGCTGAAATTTTTTGTAACATAGACACGTGCCAGATGTGAAATTGTGGCACAGAATCTAGTTAAAGCAAGAAATTTGATTTGACAATGCAGACAGACTTCGACAATCTTCTATGTCAGAGCTTTGTGTATTAGTTCCGAAATAGTTTGATTTTTCACAGGAAGGTACATCTAACTTGTCTATCGTCTATCTATCTATCTATCTATCTATCTATCTATCTATCTATCTATCTATCTATCTATCTATCTATCTATCTATCTATCTATTTAGCTGGCTAGCTGGCTAGCTGGCTGGCTGGCTGGCTGGCTGGTTAGTTGGTTGGTTAGTTAGTTAGTTAATTAGTTAGTTAGTTAGTTAGTTAGTTCAAACATGTTTGTGTATCACATTCTATGGAACTCTAGGTGCCGTACATAGGAGAACCTGATGATCTCCATCTGGGCACTAACCATCTTTGCTTCAGCATGGTGACTATGCCACGATCCTTTCAATGGGCATTCTTGGATTTATGAGACCAGCAGTAATGTCCTCCACATTGGGCACATCAATTTGTTAAATTGTTACCAAGGATTATTAGTGCCCAAGGAGTATCTGCCTGTCAGTGGAACAGACACTACATTGAAACAGTTTATCTCTCCCTCTTGAACCCCATGCATGCACTCTTTTACCTGCTCCAGAGGGTTGTGAGACTTTGGAGCAGATAGGAGGCATGCTGGGGAGAATGGGAGTGGGCAAATGCCGCAGTACCAGGAGAGGTTTGCTCATATGACAATAGATGCAGTCCCTGGTAAGTCCTGGATTTCTGTGAACCAGACTAAGTAAAAGAAGAGGAATCTGTAAAATGTTCCAAATGTTGCCAGGAGCTGAAAGAACACTTAAAATAATTCAAAGGGAAAAGCTCAAGCCTATAAACAGTGGAAAACCTATGCATTTCTGAGTAAACACTGTATATATATATCACTAATACATTTCCCAAATGTTTATTTTATTTATTTATTTAACTTATATGCCGCCCACACTACCAAAAGGTCTCTGGGTGGCTTATAACAATTAAAATACAATAAAAAGATAAGACAATTAAAGTACAGTTAAAATATATACTCTAAAAATTGCCATCAGAACCCACAGTTGATATTATTTCAATTAAAAGCCTTCTGGAACAGGAAGGTTTTGTCCTGGTGCTGAAATGTCATCAGCGTTGGCGTCAGACGAATCTCAATTGGGAGGTTGTTTCACAGTCTGGGGGCAGCTGCCGAAAAGGCCCTTTGTCTACAAGCCGTCCCTCTTACCTCCTTAAGGGACGGCTCTTTCAAAAGGGCCCCCTGGCTAGATCTTAACTGCTGGGTAGGTTCATATGGTTTGTGGTCCTTCAGATATCCAGGGACCAAGACGTTTAGGGCTTTATACATCAAAACAAGCACTTTGAATTGGGCTCGGGCAGCAACTGGTAGCCAATGTAATTTAAACAGAATCGACTTGATGTGTTTCCTAGTAGTCCCACCACTCACCAGCCACGCAGCTCGATTCTGGACCAGCTGCAGTCGCCGGACCGTCTTCAAAGGCAGCTCCACGTAGAGCATTTCCGCAGCTGAAGGAAGGCGGCCCTGGCCACCAAATTCACCTCAGCTTCCAAAGTTAGACTGGGGTCCAGGAGCACCCCCAGGCTGCGGACCCTGTCCCTTAGGGGGAGTGTAACCCCATTCAGGGCAGGGAAATGGCACTCCAGCCTGTCTGGCAAAGCACCCACTAACAGCACTTCTGTCTTATCTGGATTGAGTTTCAATTTATTAACACTCATCCAGTCCATTATCAGGTCCAGACACGAGTTCAGCACAGAAACTGCCTCACCTGGATTGGTGGAAAACGAGAGGTAGAGCTGAGTATCGTCAGCATATTGCTGACTCCTCAGCCCAGACCTCTTGATGACCTCTCCCAGCGGTTTCATGTAGATGTTAAACAGCATGAGGGACAGTATCAAGCCCTGAGGAACCCCATGACATAAACGCCATGGGGCAGAGCAACTGTCCCCCAGCACCACCCTCTGGACACAATCAGCCAGGAAGGAGTGGAACCACTGTAAAGCCCCCAACCCAGCCAGCCTATCCAGAAGGACACCATGGCCGATGGTGTCGAAAGCCGCTGAGAGGTCCAAGAGTATCAACAGGGTCACACTCTCCCTGTCTCTCTCCTGGCAAAAGTCATCGTACAGGGCGACTAAGGCAGTCTCCGAACCAAAACCCAGCCTGAAACCCAATTGAAATGGATCCAGAAAATCGGTTTTATGTTTGCACATAAAATCACTGAATTCAAGAACAGTCAGTAGCAAATTGGTATTCATCTATTGTTGAAAGAAGAATGGCAACTAATTACTTTTCATTGGATGGATAGGAAGCCATGGGGATCCAGAGGACCCCTTTGCACAAAGGGAGCAGTCTTCCCTTTCTTGCCTGTTGGCAAATAGATATCCAAATAAACTGAGTTACTCCCACTCTCATTCTCGTGCCCTTACTCTCTCCATTTCAAAATGTGTGTCAGGAAAGAGCAACACAATTGTAAGAAACTCAGTGGCATTTTTACCATTAACATTCAGGAAAGCAGCTGAAGAAATTCCTTCCTCATCCTTTACAATTTGTTTTCCTTGCCTGAGAAGCAAGGACTGGAAGGGAAAAGAGAATTCTTAACTGTTCATCACAATGAATTGACTAGTCTTTTTGTAAATTGTACTCCAAAAACACATACAGAGAAAAGCAAATATATGTTACACAGTATTAGTAGTGCTAGTAGCTGTTTTATCTGAGTGTATGTGTCATAATCAAACTTCTTGTCCAGATTTTAGTATGATCTGGATGGAGGCTTTTAGCAGATGAATCCTGCAGCCCTTCATTTCTCGACTTCCAGTGAAACACTCTACTTCAGATTAAGTAATGGACATCGGGCTTCAACCTGCTAGCACATCCCATGGGATGTAAGTCTACTCTACTTCTGAGTCTAAAGGATATTCCTCAATGTATTTTCCTTTTATTCCTCTGCAGTAAAATCAGTACCCCAAATTCCAAGTTAGTGATTTAGAAACATGTTTTTATTTGTTTGGTCATAAACCTGAGCATTTCCACATTCATTTTCCCCTATTGAAAACAGTTACTGTGCATTAACTTCCTTTCTATTTCTCCTTTCTGCCAAGATGATAAACCACTAAAATTCTACTTCACATTTGTGTCTCATGTGTCCTAGATTTAGCTGTATATAAGCTAGGATTTATTGGTGAAATTTATGAGTTCAGTATTGGGTGCTTTTGTAACATAGTCATAAGCCGTTATTTTTTGACCCGTATTTCTACCCTATTCTATCTGCAATTTAAATTACATCTAAAAGTTATTTATTGTAGATTATGTGGAAATTATAAATGTATATATATTTAGAAACGTATGTGTACAAGCAAATAAAAAAACACCTGCGTACACATATTTCTATGTAAATAAAGAGTTTGTTAAATCTAACATTTGTTTATGCCAATTTTTCTTTTGTGTTTCCTTCCCTTACTGTAGCAATTTGAATATACTTAATATCTTTATATTAAATGTGTGTTTTGTCATTATATTTCATCAGAATCTGAAACAGGACAATTAACCCCCCAAAAAACCATCAGAAATGGGGGGGAAACCCCAAAAAGCAAACAAACCCCCGAGATCATCGGAAATGAGGGGGAAAACTCCCACAAAGCAAGCAAACCCCAAGACTCATCAGAAATGAGGAAAATACCCCCCAAAAGCAAACAAGCCCACCAAGACCCATCGGAAATGGGGGGGATCAAAAAGCAAACAAACCCTGCAAGACCCATCAGAATTGGGGGGGAGACAACAACCAAAAAACAAACAAACCCTACAAGACCCATCACAGCATAGAAACATAATCCCACTACCCAGCCCAAAACCATGCTGCAAAACCCACCCAAAAGAGTTTTTAAAAAGCAGACAGCAGCATCTTACCTTAGCAGGCAGTCCAAAGCCTCCTCCGATTACACTCACTATAATTGTTGGGGTGAAAAAGCTATGAAGAAGCAGCCTCTTCGTCTACCAACAGTTAGCAATTTGAATTCCCCGCATTTTTCCCTGCCTTTTTTTGGTTGTAACTGGAAGCTGTGGCCGCAAGTCGAAGCAAAATTTTGCAGCCAGTTGTAACTTGAAATGGTCATATATCGGGACATTTGTACGTCGAGGCGCCACCGTATCTCTTAAGAGTAGCTGGCAGACAAAATAAAGCAATGACTGTATGAAAGTCATTCCCCCCATGCTGCCATCCACTTTTTTTCCTTGTGTTGATGGGAAGAAGAGTAAAGAAAATATACCTTTTCCTAGATTGCTGGCTGTTCTGCAGAAAACAGCTGAAGCACAGAGTAAATGAGCTCTTGGGACACTGGAGTTGTGAGGAAAAAAGAAAAATCTCTTTAGAACTTATGTATAGTCTTTCAAGAACTGACAGAAAATTTGTTCTATTTCCTCTGAAATTGTTTGGGCTGTTCAGCATATCTTCCATCTCTTATTTGCATGGGCACTTTATATTGGTCTATTTATATGACTGGTGTTGTGTCATTGTTATTATTACATGTTACATTGGGATTTTTGTAATACAGTGGTGCCTTGACTTACAAACTTAATTGGTTCCGGAACTCTAGTCGTACCTCGAAATGGTCATAACTCGAAGCACCATTCCCCATTGAAATGCACTGAAATGCAATTAATCCATTCTAGCCAATGAAAAAATCACCTTCCCCCCCAAAAAAATCACTGCAAGACCCATCAGAAACGTGATTAATCCATTCCAGCCGAAGGGGGGGGGGAGAAAAGCAAGCAAACTGTGCTAGACCATTCAGAAATGAAGAAAAAGCAAAGCAAAAAGCAAGCAAAGCATTCAAGGCCCATCGGAAATACAGAAAAAGCAATGCAGAAAGCAAGCAAAGCACGCAAGACCCATTGGAAATGCAAAAAAAGCAAAGCAGAAAACAAGCAAAGCATGCAAGACCCATCGGAAATGCAAACAAAGCAAAGCAGATAGCAAGCAAAGTGTGCAAGACCCATCATAAATTCAAAAAAAGCAAAGCACCAAAAAACAAACAAACCCCCCAAAACCCATCGGAAATGGGGGAAGAAAATTCCAA